CCGATCTTATATATATATATATATAGAGTATATCTACCAAATAGCTCAGTATTTCCATGGCGTCACAACCATCATACTTGTCAAGCCAGTCACTTAGTTGACCATTTGTTCTAATACTAATTGTTATGCATTGAGAGTTCACATACACACATATCTTCACATTGGTAAAATATTATCCACTTTAGGTACAAGTCCTCATTATTTAACTTTTTGGTTATCACCCAAAAAATCTTTTATCAAGATCTCTCACTATTCCAATAGTGTGAGACTTTGATTGTGTCTCAACATGATTAGTGAGTAGCATAGATGGAAGAAACCACAATTCTTTTGAGTCAAATTTAGTGCACATTGTGAGTCAGATTCACATAAGACAATTTTGAATCCTCCTTGACAAGCCTTTCATAAATCATGGTAAATGGCCAATAACTTCACTTTAAGACTTGTAACAAAACCACGAGTAACTAATTACCAAAAATGATCTCTCATAATAATGCCTTCAAAAATTATTACTCTAGGATATTCAAAAGAACTTCCAAATGCATAGTACATATATACAAAATACAAAATTGACACCTAGCATATAAGATTATAAGCTACTAAAAGATATTTTCTTCAAATATATATTAGAATACTTGAAAGGTATTTATAAAATTATAAGAATTTTAGAATATAAAATTAGGGATTATTTATAACATCCGAAAAAAATATTAAGTGACAAAATATATATGTGAGAAAAATTATTTAATATAATAATTAAAACTGTATAAAATAAATATTTTTTCTAAAATAACAAAATAAGAATTAGTATTAAACATATTAAGTGATCAAAATATTTTAATATTTATATATTTAAATTTTATTTTTAACATAAAATCTAAAAAACACTAATATAATATTATATATTTTTAATAAATTTTTAAATAATTTTTTTAAAAAATTACAAAATCAAATCAAATAAAAGATTAATTTGATTTAATTTAAATTTTATAATTCATTCAAATCGAATCATATTTAATTTTTTTATTTGATTTAGATAATTTTTAAGATAAAAATTAAATTAAACCGCACGGCAAACACTTTTTTAATGAGGTATGTAGTACAAATATAAGGAAGAAAAACAAAATAAAAGAAAAATATATTTAAAAAATATTAAAGTAAGTTTGAAAATAATAGAGGCTCTATGCATAATTTAAAGGTTAAAACTGCATTTGTTCTTTTTGTGGCTTTCTGTATACTCCAACCATAATCTCTCTCTCTATTGTATGGCGCCATTCCCTTCTCCTTCCGATGCAATGCTACTCTGTTACTGTTACTGTTACTGTTAACCATTCCTTCATGTGAGTTCTTTTTCTTCCTATAAGTTTGGTTGCCAAAATAAAACTAGGTTTCATGTCCTTAGTTCACTCTTCACACAATCAGAAAATATGCAAACGATTATTCATCACCTGGCTTTAGTTTTCCTTTTCTTCTAAACACTCAGTACATTTTTATTTTCTAAAAACTGTCTCCTGAGTACTTGAATAGAACATTTGAATGGAGCACTTAAGAAAACAAAAGTAGAAGAACATCACGAGAAAACATCCGTAAGTTATTTCTATATATTGTTTTTGCAAACAACTTTCAAAACATAATAGATTTTGGATGAGAAATTGATTTCTGAGTAATATGGATTTTGTTGTGCACATGGGATTCACACACCTCTTCGTTCTTCATTTTAGGCTTAAACCCTAATGGGTTAGTTTTTGGTATGTTATTTTGAGCATTTTGAATAATGATCAATAGCAAATATAAGACTTAGCTTGAACAATATTATACAAATGTGGAGTCATGTGTGTGGAAACTCTGCACAACAGATTTCTTTTTTAAAATACAGTCTTCAAAACAAGAAAAGTGAGAGTGAAATCTAATAGGCCTCAGGCCCTTTATTTATTTATTTATTTTTCATTCTGTTGCTTTGTTGCTCAATTTTCATCTTGGTGGTGTCATTTACTATTATATTTAAGGCAAAGACTAACTTACCCTACACCTCTAAGGCTCGAGCAGAATAATGATAGTTAACTGTAATTGGCAAGGTCCAATATCTATTGGTTATGAATATAGTAACAAATTTCGAATCTAAAACTCTATGCATGATACACTTAAGCGACACTGGTGGTAGTGGTACCAATACCCATTAGTCTACCTCTTCTCTTTTAACTGTTTTCTTACCATGAAGTGTTGCAATTTTTGGTAGGAATGCTGAATAGTTGTCGCCTCGAAATATTGTCACTAGAGCAGGGGACTGGGGAGGGAATAAAGGGTCGTCATATTCTTTATTTCTGCTCTCTCGCAGATTCTTTTCAGATGTGTATATTTCTGTTACATGTGTAATTATATCTAATTGTGTTTAGTTTAAAAAACAATGACTGGGAAAGTGGATTATAAGTAAGCTTATTACATTGGGTCTTATAGAATAGCATTTGAAAGGAACCGAGAAGAATCTAATCTTCGAGCTTAGAATTGTTCTTCTGCTGTCTCAAATTAGATCTCCTTAATTGTTCTGCCTCACTCAAGACCCTTTTGCATTTTTAGCTTTATTTGAATATCTTGATCACTAGCAGCATGATATGCTCCTTGTTCTGTTCAGCTTCATACCTAGTTTACTTCTTCCAAAAGTTTACTTTTTTGTTTTTACAGTCTCAATACCAGACAACACTTTTGCATGATCAACCACTTGGGTCTCGAACCTCCTATTCTCAGACTGTAAGGTCTCAACTTTCAGATTGAAAATCTTTTGCTGCATTATTTATCATCAATCTATTTTGATCTCTATTCTTGATATTTGATATATATTTCATGATGCAATTTTTATCTGCTTTCGAACTTATAACTATCATGGTTGAAAATGGGTTATTTAGTAACTTCTGTATAAGTTTATACTTTGATATTAGTTATGTCAATGTTCTGAGTAGGACTCTGTCCTTATTGTTAGACAGCTGTGGCGGCCAGCACCGAAAACACTTTCGGTGATTTTTGATTTTTAAATCAAAAGCGGGTCCCACATGATAATAAAATAATATTAAAAGTTTAGGAGAAATTACGAAAATGCCATTGGGACTTTCCTATAAATAGGGAAGCTGAAAACCATAATTTTCATCCCAAATCTTCTTCTCTTCTCTCTTCCTCTCTTATACACCTTGAGATCTGTTCTCGGTAGTAGTAGTCTCCTAATTCAAAGGAGTAAGTTATAGAGAGAGAAGTGTTGTAATTTCCTCCCTTTCAGTAAATAATATTTTTACTGTGGTTATTTTCTCCCTTGTCTCTTTTT